CTTAGACTTTTTCAGTTATATTTTAGCTCTCTGAATCAAGAGATTGTCAAATTCATGCCATTAAAACCATGTGACACCTTATATTACGTGAGAAAACTTCTCAATCCTATTTGAATTTGGAATGCAACTTCCACCCGACAGTATTCTTACTACGTATTTTTAGTTTATTTTAATATATATAAATAATACAAATATAAATAAGTATATGTAAATATATATATACATATAAAGTAATGATAAGTATGGAATTAAGCCACAGGAGTTACATATGTAAGAACAAACAGGGAGTCTGCAGCAGAGACATTCTGTTTTTAACAGAAACACACAGTTCAAAGCAATGACTGAAAAATGAGACAACCTTACACTTCAACATACATAACTTTTATCAATCCTGCCTTGAATTCAAAATATTTAATTGCTATAAACACAAAGATACCTTTTGTGCTTCAGAATACAGAGTGCAGGAAGTTTACAATTGCACTTGATTGCCATAGAGTAGTGCCTTACCTGGAGATTTGGCAACTGCAAATAGGCCATTAGGAAAACAAGAGTATTATGTTCAACCTAACTAAGTAACACTGCATTCAGGCACCATGACGAACAGTTCAAATGTTTACCTCAAAGCTCTTCTCTCCTTACTAATGCATAACATTTTAACATAAAAAAAACACCTCATCAAAAAGAGCACAGAGGCCAAAAGTTCAAAAATGCTTGGTAATGCCTTTTAAGCAGTCTGAATCTGTGATAATCTGGCAGCATACTGTCAATCTCATTTTAGATGATCGCCCAGGTGATTAGTAATTAAGATACTGTGACTTCTCTATTTTTACTGTAAGTGAAACCCTACTGTTCAACACTACTGCATTCAAAAAGAATGTATATTTAAGTCTCAAAGGCAGACAAAGCCCAAAGGGATATAGTTCATTTCATACAACAGTCAGACTACACGTGCAGCTACTACAAGTAATGGACTTCATTTTCACTAAGTACAAATTCAGCCTACTGAGGTGGCAGAGACCGAATGGAAGTGCTGATCTCATAATGTAATTATAGTGAAAAAGTCATGTTTTTCATTAAGCAAAATTAATTCAAAATAATAATGTAGTGTCAATTTCTGATAGCCTGACAGAGGGAAATCTTAGCATAACCTGACCTGAAACATTCAGTGTAACTTGAAATCAGTATGCAACAAGATACCACAAAGTCACAAGTAGATTAAAAAACAGCCATGCAAAAGAAGGTACTGTATATTAACCAGAGCTATGTTGGGAATCTACTGAATCAAGATTTAAAATAAGGACCTACTCATATGCGTGGAGCAAACCAAATTTAAACAATTATGCAGCAAAAATTTAATAAAATAGATTTGTAGGTTACTTAGACAGAAACCTCTATATTTAAAAGGCTTACAATAACTTAGTGTAAAGTAAGTATTTGAAACACAAAAAATATAGGCAAAACAAGTTTTAAGGGAAGGTGTGAGAGGTATTTTAGAGGCACGTCCACCCTATCTCCCTAATTCACAAGCTGCAGTTTCTCCTGCAGGAAGAGTGCAAATACCAGAGATACTGGATATTTGTACTGCTTCCCTTTCAAACACTTTGCCTTGTTTGGCTTGGCAGAAGAGTACTTACTCTTAAAGGAGCCGTTTCAATAGCTAGCACACAGTACGCACACTAGCATGCACCCAATATGCTACTGTACAACACGTCCTTGATAAACCTTTCGAAGGCCAAAACAAGTTACCTGTCAACAACTACGTGATTTGAACAAGGATTTCCAGGAGGAATCTCCTCCCTATTACACTCCAGCATAGAACAGTAGGGTGAACATACTGCTCCTTTATGCTGTATGTTTTCCTGACATTGCCAAGCATTTTGAGTTTTCATTGAACCTTCTCTCCAGCTGAGTTCCTAATTATTGCTTTCCTCTAGATGTTAATGAAGCACTGTCTCCACTGCTGCTATTTTAGTTATAAATAGATAGCTCTGCTACATATTTTGTGGCTCACGCATATTGAAAGATATGTGCCTTAACCCATGTAGCTGGGAATAAGTCCAGAGTAAGTTGTCTGTTCACTCCTTCCCTGCTCCAGTTACAAGTTGCCTGATGACTCCACCGCAGGATGAGAAAATCTAACCACAACCTATTGCTTGCTGGAAGAGTTGTAGAAGAGAGAAGAGCTGAAGTCAGGAAGATGAAACACAGCATGGCATTAACTGCAGCACAACAGTGCCAAAGTGAAACACACTGAATCCTGAGGCGTCTTGGAAAGTGGCAAATTACTCATCCCACAAAGTACCTGGCAACTTGAGATTACCAAATAATTCACCTTCTGAATACTATTGCTGTAGGGTACCTGACTGCTGTGCTAACAGTTTTTAAATCCATTTATTAGTATTGCAATACTTGATAATGTCTCTACACTTCTTCATGTGGTTTTAGATGATGTTTAAACAGTATCAATCACCAGGATGAAGATAGTGATTTTGATGACAATATGCATGTTTTAAACTGGTTCCCAAACCCTATCAAGCTATAGCAGGCTAAATTCCATATAACAGTAATACAATAAATAAGAACAATAGATAAGACTACCATTTATTATAAATTTATTTTTAAAATTCATTACATCGTTCAACATGAGAACAAACCTAAGATTTTTACAAACTCCGCTTTATGAAAAGCCTAGATGCCCTTGGGCATTAAAGTGTTCTCTGAGTTGCTTACCAGACTTCCATGAACTTTAATGGAAAACAAGTTTCAGGAAAAAAAGCACTGGATTTTGCTTTCCCGACAGCAACCAAACATTTCACGGTAATCACACCAGCCTCAAAGTCCAAAGAATTTTCAGTAAAGTTAGTATTATTTCAAGCAATATTTAACACCACCAACTATATGCAGAATATGGTACAAAATGTCTTCTCCATTCTGTTCCATAATGCTCCTCTTTTCACTTTTTCCTCCCATTCAAACCCCCACTTCTTTCCCAGGAGTATTTGTGCACTCTATCTACCTATACAGGTGTTATTCAGAAATAAGAGTATGAGGAAGGTGAATGATCTCTAATTGACTGATCTTTCCACTCAAAATTATTTCTGTCTCTTTCTCTCTCCTTTTTAACATCTATCAGAAATTGCTTCCCTCAGTCTAAGGACCTTCACCGTATATGTGTTAAATGCCAATAGAATTCATATCTGTTATCCAACGAATGTGCAATGGCAAGCACGAAGCACCAGAGGAAAAAAAAAAAAAAGATTAATACATTGTGAACTTCAGCCTCAGAAGCCTGGACTATATGTATGAGTATAAACTAAACCTGTGAGTTTTTAATGGTATTTTGGTTTTAACTGATATTAAATACAGTTGGGTTAAAACCAAAGCAGACTATGACATAAATCTATGGACAAAATGGGAGATGCAATGATGCAGCTGAAAATAGCACAAAGTATTATCAGATAAACCCCACCTAATTCACTTTGGCAATGCTGGATGAATTGGAGTAAGGTTTGACATCTATTTTCATTTTGCAGGAAGAACAAAGTTCTTCATAGCCAAATATCATTCCTGGTTCACATCAACTTGTCTCTCATTTTAACATAGATACAGAAGAAAACAATTTCCCAGTGATTTTTTTCCTTTTTTTTTTCCTTCCCTGACAGTTCTTATTTTGCAATTGGACAAGGGCTGAGCATCTGCTGAACAGATGGGGGACTTCCAACCCAAGAAAAGGGCTCATAGTTGCAAGTATTAGTGATGTCCCATAAAAACAATTAAAACAATCCAAAATTCTCATTATTATGTCACCACAAATACTGCATTCAAAAGTAAAAAGTTCACAGAAGATGTAACAACACGGATATTACCATTTGCTGAAAGTAAGCAACATTTTGAAAAATACCAAAAACTACACCAATTAAAAAAAAGAAATGCTCACACACTATCCTCCTTATCATCTGGGGTGCATAACCCCGGTGCTTATAGTTGTGAGAAGACTCTTAATTTCACAAGACAGTAAGAGTTTAGGATAAGCTCCCTAATCAAAGAAAATTTGCTGAAGTATAATCCTACTAGGAGACATCAGTCTTCCAATAGCCTTTAAATTTACAATGAACTAAATTACACTGGAATTATGTTGCTGAAGGTGACATTTAATAGGATAAATCACCGAACCAAGGTTAGGGCGACCTGCAGATGCCAGTCATCCAACAACACTGCAAGGAACAGAATATCGTTCTTATTGATCAAAATGATTTTAAATACAAGCCATTATATCCTGCACATCAATAGTTTAATTTAATTTAATTTAATTTAATTTCTATTTTACCAATGCCCTTCAATGGAACTAGCTGCAGTTATTTCTCTATATAAAGATTGTTAGGTATTGTGGAGTCCACTACAATAACCAGCTTGTGTAAAAATCAGCCTTAATGAGAAGCTGAGAAATTATATGTAAGAAATCATTCTCACTGTCAACCTCACATGTACTTCTCAATGGGCAAACATTTATAAAAATGAACCAAAATTCCAAGACCCATTAAAGAGCTCTCCATTCGTTCACCATAAATATTGTCTACCATCGTTGTGCTGTCTGGGGTTTTCTTGAAGTAACAGAATGACTCCAAGAAGGTCAGAAAGCACCAAACTGTACTTGGAAAAAAACCCTATTTGTAACTTCATACACACACACAAAAAAAAGTAACTAATACTACACTTAAAGCATCTAAGTCAGAATTTTCAGTTACAGTCAGACAGTTAAAAATATATAAATATACACTATTGCAACTGGCTACAACAGCGACAAATGCTCCCTGACAGAGCATAAACACAGTACTGCAGTTTCTAGCCTTGTTCAAAAAATAACACTTTAGAACAAAAATGCGTGGTTAATATGAAAATTCTTATGATCAAAAGCAAGACTTTTTCATAAATACCAGCCTTTTCACATGAACAGAACATTTAGTCTGTGCATATGAAACCACAGGCATATGAATACCTACCCTGCATTATTACTGACTGCTGTTATTCCTTTCACTCCAGTCTTCAGTAAACCACCAATGAGGTTTTCAGGGATGCCACACAATCCAAAACCTATGTAAAATAAAGTAAAATTGAATATGTAACGAGTGTTTGCAAGGACACATTAATATTAATCAGGAGTCTAAGAATTCCTCTGTTTAAGAATCTTTTCTGAGTGGAATGAGGTCCTTACTTTACTAAATAAATCAACACTTCCGGGAAGAGTTGCATCCTAGTACTAGAATCTCTCAGTCACTACAAGCTTCCCAGTTTGGTGGAAAGCCAGTTAACCATCAGAGGTCTGCTCACACACAAATGGCCTTTGGAGAAAGGCTCCATGACCTTGGCTCTCCTGATGAGTGTCCTAACAACTGCATTCATTATTTTTCCTTCTCCTTCTACCCATCTAACCTTCACTTCCTTGCTGCACACAAGGTCAAATAGGAGGAGCAAGGAGTTCTCCCAGACAGCTTAGCCCATAAAAATCTGGGCATCTTCATGTTCTCAGGAAGATAGGTAAATGGAAGTTACTGGAAGATCTCCACCCAGGGTGAGGTGCCTCACACTCCTACCTATTATGCAAGAACCTTGTAAGCCTAAAATGCACATTTGAGGTGCCTAAGTCTTACACACTAAATGCCTAACACTACAGCTATTACTGTTTCCTTCACAAACCCCTAGCTTCAGATCTTTTTTTGTTCCCGTGACAACAAAAAAATACAGTAACTCTCCCTAGAAGGCATTCTGCCTTGTTAGACATCTCAGTGAGGTCTCCCATGTTTTACAATATTACATTCACTATTTCTTGAATTGTTTATAACCTTATAAATAAAGAGATTGCTTTTCTTTCTGTAGATTAACAGCATGAAATTGTGGAAATCATCTAGATTATTCAAAAGCTCAAATCACGGTGACAGTCAGTACGACACAACTTCGTGACTCTTCGGGAAATGCCACACATAAATTTTTAGTTTAACGTAGGTTAAGTATTATCTTCACTTCCTACAGCCAGAAGCAGGTTAGGCAATTTGTTTAAGGTCACAGAGACCCAGTGGACTAGCCAGATACAGAACACATTTGGATTTTCTGCATTCAAACTGGTACAAGTAGAGTCTAACACTTCATTACTGGGGAAAAAAAACCCCAAAACTACCCAGGCTCTGTCTAAGGCTTTTTCCCTTCCCTAAGAAACAAGCTGGGATTTTCTCACTGAAAGAGCCTGTTCCTCATTAGCAGAGTAGGAAACCACTTGTTTAAAATACCCATACAAGCATATGGATTGTGAAATTAGTTAATATTAAAAGAAACACAGTAAAACTGTAAAAAGTATCTCATTAACAGAACATGTGATTGCATCCATAAAGAATTTAAATATTTACCACCAACAAGTATAGTTGCCCCATTGGGTATATCTTTTACAGCTTCAACAGGATCAGTATAAAATTTGGTACTGCGATGACAGCTAGTAGAAAAATAGCATCCACAAATCTGGAATAACATTAAAAGAAATAAGTGAATTAATAAAAAGAATTATATAATCACTTTATGACAACCATCCCTCTGGCTAGACAAGGGGCAAAATACATATATAAAAAAAAGGCATTGCTATTGTAAACACTAAACGTTGTGAGCATGAAGAAGAGTTCAGGTCTCCAAAACAAGGACTCTTATTATATTTCTATGCCCCTCATGACCCATATTTTAAAACATTCATATGTATTACGATGGCTTTACGCTTAATATGAGCTGGACCAATTTAACTATCTAAATGGATTTTAAATTTCTGAATTTCATCCTCAATTGCTGACAAATCGTGACTTATTGTGGATAGATCCATAGACGCAACTCCTCAGCATGAGTTAAAGCAACGCAAAGACTGTTCTAACCTACATATTGCTACTTGTAGTTCCAAAGATACCCAAACACTAAGCATAACAAGAAATTGCTGAAGCAGAGAGCCAACACCGCCACAAAATTTGAGTGGATGACAAGGACAATGCGAAGTATAGCGCTGTCCCTGTAGCATAGTAAAGAGAGACTCCTTTCAACGAAGTGAACCTTCCCCAGCTTACTAAGGCAGTCTTTGAGCTTTTCGTGTTGTTGCAGAACAGCCCAGAACCAGGCATACCCCAGCAAACTGATGAAATAGCAAGGGCAAGAGAGAGAGCAGTACAAAACTAGACTTCACAGTGCAAAGCCATTACACAGTAACACAGTAACAATCATAACTCATCTATTATACTCTTTAGTCAATACAGTTCATTTGGTTTTTTTCTTCTTTAAGTATTTCCCACTAATACTATCATGCCTTAACCTGTGCTGTCAAGGAACCAGAAGCAAGTGACATTTAAGTCATTGTACAGACAGACTTTGTAAATTGAGAGTATCTGGAAGTTACAATACTACCTACTGGTGTTTCCACCTCTGATTTGACAGTAGAAGTGAGAAAATTTAAATTGGGAAAGAAGGAGAAGAATAACTAAATAAATAATAAATAAGCTAATCTACACACATTTTAAAGACACTAGTCTAATTCTTCCCAAAAGAGTTGTCTTAAGACCCAATTACAACCAGACCAATAATTTTTGGCTCACTTTCAAGATTACACTAACTGCCTTCTTTATAAAATCACATTTGCAAGAGTTATACTGAATGTTAAGAAAACCTTTCTGAAGGGAGGCTTATCTCCTTCCCAAAGGAAGGAGATGTTCTTTTACTTTGATGGGGTCAAAAGAAAAAAAAAAAAAAATCATAAGGAACAACACCAAGACCCTTCCCTACCCTCAATTATATCATGGCTATTTCTTCCATAAACATTTTTTTATAACGACAGTAAGACTGCAAAAGTATCTCTTCTGGTCACATTCAGCAGGCAAGGGACAAAATAAGTACTAAGTGCTGGCAGCCTCGAAAGTCCCAGTCCAACAACACTATAAGCAAGCATGAGGGCCAGGGCTGGAGGGAGGCCAGGCCACTGCTGTGTCCCTATACCCACACATCGGAAAATATTTTAAAGAGACCACATGATACCTTTTATTTAATCTGCCCAACTGCCTGTAACAACGAGGAACAACAGAGCAGCAAGTGCACATTCCCGGGCTGTGTGCATTCCCGGGCTGGGTGTCTGCCCTCCTGCGCTAAGTAAGTTCTCTTCAGTTCCTTCCCCACCCGCTCTACCACTTGAGAGCAACCGGCTTTCAGGGAGGCAAGGTGCCAGGGATCACCCACGCTCCCAGGCACACCGGGACAGCAAGCTCAGATCTCAGTAGCTGCCTGCAATTCTGGCAGCCCAGGCTAAGGAAAGAAGTAACATGGGAACAGATAAGCTCCCAGAAGGATTCAATGTACATTTTACAGAAAGGTAAAATATGACTTAGCAAAATAGAGCCTGAAAGAGTTATGATTACTTGTCCATAAAGACATCAGGAAGAGTAAACAAGGGCATGAGAAGGAGAGTAGATAAGTTGTTTCAACTAAAATAATACAAGAAAAGCCACAGAAGCAATTCTGTCTGAAGAGACAAAAAATTCACTTGGCTACAATTACATGTGGGCTGGAAACCATTAGACCAGTGAGGTTAATCAGAAGGAAAAGCAAAGCAAGCGAGTGGGTTAGCTGCACAG